GGGTGGCCTAGTGGTTAAGGCATTAGCTCATCGCACTAAGGACCTGGGTTCTATTCCCCTATATGTAACAATGTGTGAAGCCCATTTCTTATGTCCCCCAACCGTGATATTGCTGGAATACTGCTTACAGCGGCAGGAAACTAAACTAACTCACTCACCCAGAACAATGTCAAGGAGATTGCTCTTATTAATACCATACAAAGTTGAACTTGCTTTCAAAGTCCAATTGGTAGTAAACAGACATAGTTCAAAATTCAATCCAAATAAAACATTTTCAGGAATAGTGTCTTAGCAATTATGGACTCATTCTGTCAAAAAATCTGTAAGAAAATATGGACGGTTTGTACATTTTCATCTGAGTGAAACTTATTTTGTGTAAACTTCAAGTGAATGAAATGCTGAGTGCCTAATGACTGATGCACCTGTCAAAAGATTGCGAGTGTCAATGGTCTGATGTATGAAAAGTAAAGTTATCAGAGTTATGTCCCTCGTGTCTCCACCCGCTACATCCACCATCTTGAAGACTGTATGGCAAATCAGAGTTATGTCCCTTGTGTCTCCACCCACAACCTCCACCATCTTGAAGACTGTATGGCAAATCAGAGTTATGTTCCTTGTGTCTCCACCCACTACCTCCACCATCTTGAAGACAGCATGGTAAATCAGAGTTATGTCCCTTGTGTCTCCACCTGCTACTATGAATGGTACAACTAGTCCTATAGTGTTGCAATATATTTCATGTGCATCAACATTTGCATTTCCATTGCAATATTCAAATTGATTTCTGTGTCTTGTAGTGCAATGTGACCATATTGCAATTGCCTCTATATGTATATGTTTAGGTGTGGGAGTTGTAATAATAATAATAATAATCCCGCCTTTGAAATGTCTCGCTTGCATCCCAAGTACACTGTCGTCAGGCTCCCCATTGTTCTCGGTGCCCTTGGTTTGGTACCTCCTGATCTCTTGGTGCAGATCAGGAGAGTGCCCGGGTTCTCCACCGGGAGCACAGCCCTTCTGACACTCTGGGTAATGCAGAAGGCTGCAGTGTTGGGGAGCCTTCATATTCTCCGGAAAGTTCTTGGTGGGTTCGACTAGGCAGCGTTTCCTGGGAGAAGTCCCATTCGCTGTCTGGGCTGCGTGTAGAGGGGGCAAGGGCCCTGAGCTGATGATGAGCCTTACCAGCCTGACTGTGCCAGGATCACCCGAACCCTCTCTGCTGCATACTATCTTTAATCTGTAAAACATAATGTATTAATAAAGTGCCTAATATCCACCACAGAGATGCTCAGTGGCGCTCTGACAGTTTTGGGGAAGGAAATAGTTCATATAACTTTTACAGAAAGGCAGCAGTGAATAGATGGGTCTGTACCTTTAGCTTTAGTTGTGTGAAGTCCTACTGTGTGGTGTTTGAACACCTATATATGGAGTTATTCATTAGATTAGTTAAGAATAACTAACTCCACTCAAAAAACAGTCCTTGCATTGCAAAAGTGCAATAAGATCAGCTATTTCCCTTTCCAAACTGAAACTGATTGCTGAAACATGGGTGAAAACTGTTGAATTGTGATTGATATTCATTAACAATGTTTCAGCTGTAAACAGCAATTGAGTACAAAATATTTTTTCTTTGAGTATGGAACAAGATATATATGTTACAGTGATAATGTTTCATTTGAGAATGACTGTGCTATGATACAAGATTAGTACGGTATATATAGTGCTATTAAAAATGCAAGTCTAAAATGAAACTGTTTATATGTTGTTATATCCTTGGTAACTGATAGTCTTTCTTTTCAGGGGGCTATGAATTTTTAACAAAACAAACTATTTTTCCCATGATTTTGAATTCATGTATTTTTTTTATAGTAAACAGTTCAGGACCCCTGTCAACATGATTTTTAATACGATAATTAGAATCTTATTAGATTTACTGTCAGATGTATGGCTGTTGATGTATCTCTTTTGTTTAATGACCCACCTGTCATAAGAATTTGCATCAAATTAACTCTGTTTCAATTATTTCTGTTCAATGTAGCAAAGACACATTGTTCGAGTTACCACATAGTAACATTTGATTGATTGCAATGTGCGACATTGTGTCACTTTGATGTAGGTAACAGGATTGAAATTCACTTTATTTATGGAAATTATGTTTTCCTTGTAAACTGTCTAAGCTGTACCCACAATGGCAGTGCCCAAAATGCCGATATGGGTCGGAATTAACTTACTTTCCTGTATGAGATAAGAGGAATTTATGTAAAATTATATCATCAAGAGGTGGCCAATTTGAAAGATGAGATTCCATGGATACAAATTGGATTTGTAATTGGAGAACTTTTTTTACATTTTGAAACTGATCTGGAAAGTGATACACTTTAGTGGAAGCAGTTGTCATGTATCACTTTCTGGAACTAGAAAATATGTCAGAAGGGATTCACTATCAAGTTTGTTGTGTTCAGGCCACGTGAAAGAACCATGCCTTGGACGTGATCACGCCTAGACACAAAAAGTTGTTCCAGTTACAGCGTGGTCATCAAGGTCATTGGAACCGTGTACATCTCATGTAATGTATGAATGAACACCTGTTGAAAGTACAAAATGAGAGTCATGCTTCGGTTGGTGTAATGGAGAAATTATTTGAATCTGTTGATTACAGAAGTATAATCTCCTTCCAAAATAAACAAATTCAATTGATTTCTTTGCGTTAAAACATGTTATGGATGACAGATATCTTCTCTATAATTTTGCGGGGCATTGGGGTAGCCTAGTGGTTAAAACATTCGCTCATCACGCCGAAGGCCTGGGTTCGATTCCACACATGGGTACAATTTGTGAAGCCCATTTCTGGTTTCCCCCGCCGTGATATTGCTGGAATATTGCTAAAAGCGGCATAAACCATACTCAGTCAGTCTATAATTTTGCATAATGACCTATATTTGTGTCAATTTTATACATTTGAAATGGTACATTATGAATTCTAGTGCCGAATCAACTGTTGGAACAATACTGTGTTCTTTTTAGAATTGTTGCAATTGTTACTTATAATTGTTGCATTGGTTGAACCCTATATGAGCCCCATCTATAAATAGATCTCAGCCAGACAGGGGAGATAACTCTCATGAACAAAAAGCTTTTGGCAAGCACCGCCAACACTTTTCTGTACAGCTAATGTTATGGTGGTGAACTAAATTAGCAAACAAAACACTTTTAAATGCCCATCAACGAAGAAAAAACATTTTTGTCTTATTGCCACAAAAGCATCATGTAACATATCCACATATTCAGTTAGGGGTGTCAACTCTGGAGAGACTCAGAAATTAACTCTTGTTTTTTAATCATGTCACTGTGGCACTTGACTTTCCCCCAAAAAATATTCCATAGCTTTTATGTTTCCCTGTGAGAATAACAGTGACTCTTGTGTACAAAGCTTGTCATAAACGTATACAAGCGGATCTGTTGAGAAGGGAAATGACTGAGATTTGAAACTACTAGTGAAGTCAGGGGCGGATACAGCTTTTTGAGAAAGGGGGGTGCACACTTCATTTTCACCCGAGTTTCAATGGTCATTTAACAAACTTTCAGCACAAAAGGGGGGATGCGCACCCCTTACACCCCCCCTCTGGATCCGCCTATGCAAGTTCACCTCTCACTTTGTGCTTGGTGATACTCAAGTACATGAGAGATCGAAACAGGGTCTACATATTTGAAGCATACTAAATATTTAGACATTTAGACATTTTTATGTAGGTGGGTGGGTGGATTTATTGACAGCTCAGTGACTCAATCATTGATATGTTTCAGCAAACAAAACACAAACTGCAAACTGTTTGTGGGAGTTTGGATACCGGTGTCACTTGTATGTTTACCTGTGATCACAAACGAGCCCCTCCTTTGAAAAAACTGTTTCCGTTGTTGAAGTGTGACATCCTTATTATGACAGGGTGAATTGTTTGGCTCTTCATAACTTCATTGGTTACCTGTTGTAGGTTTTCCATTACAAATAAAAGAATGACTTTTTAATATCCCTTTAACACCTGAATCAGATACCTGATGACAGCATGCCATTTTTATTGGGCAAAAAACAGAGTGTCTGCGGGTGGTGGGGTAGTCTAGTGGTTAAAGCATCCGCTCGTCACGCCGAAGACCCGGGTTTGATTCCCCACATGGGTACAATGTGTGAAGCCCATTTCTGATATTGCTGGAATATTGCCAAAAGCGGAGTAAAACCATACTCACTCTCTCACTCAGAGTGGCAGCAGTCAGTGATTGTTTGACATTTAGGTATGGTGCTCTCAGGCTCAGAGTAGTGTAACAGAGATTAATTGTTCTTTTGTCATGAATCTCTCCTTTTCATTTCATTTGTTCCAGGGCATCACAAATCAAGTTCATATGTTATAAGATCTATTTTACTCTTTTTTTCTGATTATATCTCCGTACAGAAGATTTTCTGAATTTTCATGTTTTACAATTCACATGATTGGCCACTTCAGTCCTCTGAGGCAAAATGTCTTCTCCTTCCAGTTTCATCCTAAAAAAAGGAGTTAAATGACTAGTCGAACAACCTAAGATCTCCATATTTCATTATTCATGAGAAAAACCTTAAAAATTATGATGTATTTAGAGAAGGAACTGAAATGTGTTGGGATGACAATTTGTTTATAAATTACCCATTTTCTTTGCTATTATGGTAGTATGGAGTGAGTGAGTGAGTATGGTTTTACGCCACTTTTTAGCAATATTCCAGCAATATCACGGCGTGGGACACCAGAAATGGGCTTCACATATTGCACCCATGTTGGGAATCAAACCCGGATCTTTAGTGTGACGTGTCAACGCTTTAACCACCAGGCTACCCAACCGCCCCTATGGTAGTATGGAAGGTAGGATACTTTATGTATGATTACTTCTGTATTATTTTTAAAAGATATTAATTATTATAAAATGTGGATCAAAGAGATGTTATAGAAGTAGTTTTGAGCTGTTGTTTTCATTGACAGGTATGTTATACTGTGGGTGTCCAGACCCCTGGGGCTATGGGTTGTACAGATATTCCTGGCGGTCATCACTCTCATCAAGGCCATGCTACAGATCTATGTCATGACGAAGGTATAGACAGCAAGCACAGCTCTGGGGATTCTGAAGAGTTGATAATTAAATTCTGATTGACTTTAAAAAATCTGAATAATTGAAGAACCTGCTCTAATTATATATTATTCGTTCCTTCTGAACTAATAAATGCTGCAGTTAAATGTGTCAACAAAGGTCTGGGATTAACTGATGATTTATTTACAAAGGGCAGATGTACGAAACAACTTCATCAGGCTCATTTGTAAAGGTTATATTATATATATATAGATGATTTGGGTATTTGAAAGTAATGCCACTGACAAGTCACCTGTATAAACAAAACTGCGAAAATGTAAATTTATAAGAAATATTTGTTTTACATTACTACACTTTTCACCTTATAAAGCTTTTCATTCAGCACAGAGTCAGTGAATAAGGACACTTATATATCCATACATCAGTTCAAACATCATGTTTTCATATTTATTGTATCTGATAAAGTGTATCGGCTTCTGCTTAGTGGAAGAGCTTATTTGACAAACCCTGTGCAATTATTTGAAAGTATTTACACTTCACGTTCATGTTCCAGGGCCGGCGCCATGAAAACATTCTTCAGCCAGGATTCCTGCTGGAACTGTTCTGTTCAGTTCCTGTTATAGCTACAGTGAGTGGAATACACCAGTGATGATCCAGAAAATTGATGAAATAGCATGTGTAACATATGTTATATTTGGGATAAAATTTACTTTGTAAAATACAAATTCTAGTACTCTTGCATTCTCTTCCCACAGAGGTTAGTCCTGTCATATCTTCCTACGTAACCTCTGTTTTAATCACGCCCCTTTCATGGTGTGAGCGCTCAAGACTTGTGATTGGAGGCAATCAGATTTAGTTGTGCAATCAGCGAACGCTTGTTTCAAAAGTGATCATTCAGCAAGGCCTCGGTAATTTCCGTGCATGCTTCGAGAAAACTAAACTTCTTCCCTGTGCGATGCGCAAACGTTTCTTCTAGACAGAACTCAGTCATGTTATGGAGGATCAGTGGAGTCTCCATCGCTATCGTTGACAACGGACAAGCTAGCCATTAAACGTCTTGTGTGTAACATCAACACAAGTCCCGGCAGATGGGGATATTTGTGGCCCCACATTTGCTTGTGTTAGTCAAGTTGAATCTAAATTCGATGTAACACGTGTTCTGATTGGATAGAAAGAAGGGAGATAATTCGTGTTGCTTAACTTTTGCCGCTAGGGATTTTCACGAGAACCGGAAATATGGCAGTATTAGAACAGAGGTTTGTAAGAAAATGACAAGTAACCTCTGTGGGAAGAGAATGGTACTCTTGGGGGTTGAGACCTATCTGGGATTCCATACCACACTCTCAGAGTTGGGCGCCTAATTGTAGACACACAAAGTTTGTGATCTAGCCCACTCAGCCACTGAGACTTCCACAGTATATGTTGAACTTTGAAATTAAAAGACCATATGTCTCCACTTTGTGTAGTCTTACCTGTTGTGCTGCTACATATATTATTTTTTCATTTATAACATCAATTCCTGCCTCTCCAGGTGGCCTACCCAGTGCTGCTGAAGGATTTGTTCCTGCCAATCTTCCTCAATGTCTGGCTGGCCAAGATGGCCCTGGAGAGACTGTTTGTAAGTACTTCTGTTACATTAAACAGAGGCAGAGTGAGATGTACCCCGATATAGCCTTGGGTTAGTACAGATTTGATCCCGGGATCACCAGGATGTAAATGGACAGAAATACTGGTTTTAAAGAATGAGTGAGTGAGTTTAGTTTTATGCCGCTTTTAGCAATATTCCAGCAATATCACGGCTGGGGACACCAGAAATGGGCTTCACACATTGTACCCATGTGGGGAATCAAACCCGGGGCATCGACGTGACGAGCGAACACTTTAACCACTAGGCTACCCCACTAATGTTAAAAGAAGTTGATCATTATAAGCAGGGTCCTGTTATATTCTCCTCCAAAGACCAATTCTAACCCATATCTTTATGTTCTAGTATTTATAGAAGTTGATCATTATAAGCAGGGTCCTGTTATATTCTCCTCCAAAGACCAATTCTAACCCATATCTTTATGTTCTAGTATTTATAGAAGTTGATCATGATAAGCAGGGGCCTGTTATATTCTCCTCCAAAGACCAATTCTAACCCATATCTTGGTTCTAGTATTTATAGAAGTTGATCATGATAAGCAGGGGCCTGTTATATTCTCCTCCAAAGACCAATTCTAACCCATATCTTGGTTCTAGTATTTATAGAAGTTGATCATGATAAGCAGGATCCTGTTATATTTTCCTCCTGGACTGAGGTATCCTTGGTGTTTACATCACTATGTTGCTGGAGACACTCTTATAGCTGCAATCTTACAGATCATCCTTTCCTGATGATTCAGCATTTTCTGGTTTAGGCTGCATTCATCAATCTTCTTTACAATGACAGTTTCATGCAAATATGTTCTTTTAATTACCATTGTGCTCCATAGTGCCTACAAACCATTTCCATTCCAGAACGACCTTCACCTTACCAAGCAGCTTCCAGACCATATCTGTGACATTATCACAACAGATTCTCCTACTTAATGTCACGCTCTTCTGTCTCATCTTTACTACGTGAGTTACTTCCCTTTTTTCAAGGCTGGGTTTGTTTCTATTGTAACTACGTGAAGTTCACCTTTCCTATCAATTCTATGTTGGTGATCATGATGAATACATGTTGATGATCAATATTATTTATGTCGATGATCATGGTGGTGATTATTCATGTTGATGATCATGAAGAGGTTATAAATTATTATATAATTTTGTGTTGACAGTATCTGTGGAATCCAACACATTCAAAGATCGAGTGCACTTGTGAAACTCAACATGTTTGAGTCTGTGTATTTTGTGATAGTGACGTTCTCAACTGTCGGGTACGGCGACATCTCCCCGGACATATGGGTCGGTCGCCTCTTCATGCTTTTCATGATCTGTGTGGCATTTGCCTTTATACCACGGCAGGTAAGTGTCTGTAGAGTGGTCAGTTATCTTGTAACAGCTTGTTGCAGTGAAGGAGTCAGATGACCTTTATAGTTTTATATATTCAAATAGATTCTTCCTTAAATTGATAAATGGATTATGTGTTGTGATACAATCTGTATTTATTTATTTATTTATTTATTTATTTATTTATTTATTTATTTATTTATTTATTTATTTATTTATTTATTTATTTATTTATTTATTTATTTATTTATTTATTTATTTATTTATTTATTTTTTTATTTATTTATTTATTTATTATTTATTTATTTATTTATTTATACAATCCAATCCATTTGTGCATGAGTGGTATTAATAGCTACATGGAGTTGCACCTCAAGCCATACCAGGATCTGCTGATTGTGGTTTTGAGACGAAGATTTGTCAGGATTTTAATGCATCTCATGGCTTTGGTATTAATTTATGATTTATACTGAGAATGTTAAAGTGATGCGTCTGTAACATGTTGGTTTGGGAGGGGGTAACAGCGGATGAATGAATGTCTGTCAACACTGACAGAATGTGTGTCAAACATGCTACCAGCTCACATCACAACCATCTGGTCGGGGGTCATTTCAAAAGTAAACATGACACTATTGCATGGTATGTTGATGTTGGAGGTTCATGACCCTGGTAGTGGAAGCAAAGGTACTAAAGAATGAAGCTCACCTTCATACAGTTCATTTACTCAGATGTACTGTCAGCAGAGATTCCTAACTCAACGTCTGTCATCATCATCCGTATCCAAATCTATAACAACTGGTTGGACATACTCAGACGAATTAAATCTCTAAAACTGGGTAACAAAAGTAAAGTAACCTATAGGTTTCATGTAAAATGTTTGCCTATTTTGTCTTTCTGACATCTGATCAACACATCTTTTCAAGTCATTTGAGTATCCATTCAGAGACCATATACTGGTGTCAGGGCAATACAAAGCAAATAGTGAATAAACTAGTACAAAATATTACATGTTTTTAGTTGCAGCAAGAAATACAATGTGCTGTCAGAAAATATTTTCATATACTTTTCAATATTCAACAATCGAGTTGTTGAAATTATGACATGTGTGCATCATTTACAACTTTGGAAAGTGTGAGTACCCTGTGTTCCTCAGCTGGAAGAGATCGGCTCCACCTATGTACAGAGGAAACGGTCGGGAGGGGAATATGGCCGACAGAAGGCTGCACGCAACAAACATGTGGTTGTGTGTTCCACTTCACTCACCACAGAGACTGTCATGAACTTCCTCAATGAGTTCTACGCACATCCAAAACTTGAGGTATGTACTTCGTGTAGGCTCCACTGATGAAACCTTTGCTGATGACCCAAAACTTGTTTTAAATGTATTTTGAATTATCTTGTGGGGATGGTTGTCTTTTGATGATTTTGAAAATTGAATAATACTTGAAGGTATCCAATGGCAGAGATGCCAACCCTTACGCTTTGGGCGTAATTATTACGATTTTGACCATTAAATTACACCATTACACTTAATCTGTGAAAATTACGCTTTTCTACCCGTTTTGCGAAAATCAATAAAGTGGATAAAATTTCACTGGGAATATTTTCTTTACACTTGAATAATACAGGAAGGTATCCAATGGCAGTGAACCATAAGTGGGGTATAAGTAGTAGGACTGACTATCATTGTAGATCATAGAGATTGATCGATGTTAAGTGAATATCAAGAAATAATGGAGAGGTAACTTTGAGCAAATATGTCTAAAAAATCTATAAGAAATCTAGATATTTCACAGAATGGTAAGTGGTGGCATATTTAGCCTCGGATTACCAACAAATCACGTCCTGAACATACTTTCATGAATAAAGACCTAGCTTTGATAATCATTAATAATTTTCTCTATCAGTGATAATTTTAGTCAGCCCTATCTGAAATGCTTTTTGACTATTGTTGTACCCAATATTTTTATGTCAGGAACACACTGTGGTGCTGATGAGCTCTGATGAGCTGGACACCAGCATGCAGATGATCCTGAAAGACCCCAAGTGGGCCAACAGGGTCCTATACATTAGAGGGTCTGCCCTAAAGGATATAGACCTGAAGAGGTGTCGGTAGGTGTTCTGTATGACTACAAGGCTTTTGGAAATAGAAGTTCACATTAGGCATGTCATCTGATACTGTGAGAACAGGAATGAGTGAGTGAGTTAGTTGGGTTTTATGCCCCATTATGTCACACATTGTAGCCATGTAGGAAAGTGAATGTGGGTCTATGATGTGACAAGTGAATGCTTAAACAACTAGGCTACCCCAACTCCATTTAGAGAACAGGAGTGAGTGAGTGAGTGAGTTGAGTTTTACGCCGCACTCCGCAATATTCCAGCTATATGGCGGCGGTCTGTAAATAATCGAGTCTGGACCAGACAATCCAGTGATCAACAGCATGAACTTAGAGAACAGGAACAGATGAGAGCTCACCTGCAACATTGTGAAACTGTCCAGCAGTATTACGTTCCCGACTCCAGTCTGTAAGTTTCTCTCTGAGTGTTGGGCCTTCATTTCTAGATTTGTTAGAAATATTAGAATTAGAAATGATAAATTAGAAAATAGAATTACTTTGTAATTATTTTGGTCTAAAAATATGTACCATTAGAAGAATGCACTTGGTCACAGTCCATATCAGTGAGTGAAGATAGTCACATTGAAGATCGGATCTGACCTGCTTTGTAGAATCAATGATTTTGTTGTAGAATTAATTATCTGTTTTATGGAATCAATAATCTTTGTTATAGAATCACCGCCTCCGTGGTGTAGTGGTTAGAGCGTCCACCGGGAGAGCGGAAGGTCGCGGGTTCGATCCCCGACCGCGTCATACCAAAAGACGTTAAAGTATGGTACTTGTTGGTCCCTGCCTGGCGCTCGGCATTAATGGGTACAACAAGGATTGGTCGGCTCGGAGTCAGTATAATGTGTCTGAGTGGGGTATTCCTGCTTCACTGCGGCATGGTATCTCAGTGGGCTAGCACTATAAAACCAGCTTAAGTCTGGGCTAGTACAAGCAGCCGCACATACACACGCATGCATGTCGTCATATGAGCGAAATATTCTAAAGTACGACGTTAAAACCAATTTCACCTCACCTTGTTATAGAATCATGGATATATGTTATAGGATCGATGATTTTTGTTCTAGAATCCATTATCTTTGTTATGGAATTAATAATGTTTGTTATAGAATCATGGATATATGTTATAGGATCGATGATTTTTGTTCTAGAATCCATTATCTTTGTTATGGAATTAATAATGTTTCTTATAGAATCAATGATGCAGAAGCTTGTTTCTTTCTTGCTGCAAAGAACTGTGGATGTCGAGACAAAGCGGTAAGTACCTCTATGGAATGAGTGTTGCTGTTGTATATGGACATGAACGCTATGAGCATAAACATTGTATGGCTTTATGCCAAGCTAATATAAGTGACAGATTGGTGATGGGCAATATAGTCAGATCCCCACATGCTTGTTTTATGTCATCTTTGTATACTGGAGGTGTATTCAATGTGTGTAATTTGGAATAGCACATTGTAAGAAATAAACTGATGTTGATATAATATAATGAATTAATTGTACGTATTCTATTTTTCGTGTATGGACCACTGAAGTTTAGTACAGCTACTAGTACTTAAAGGTACTTACTAGTACCTACATAGAGGTATACTTACTTTTGTATTTTTAATTTTGAGAGTTTAATGTTAATGAGTTGAAGAATTAATTTCTAGAATCTGAACAGGAATGAGAAGTGGTTTTTCTCTTTTGTATTTTACTGATGTCTCTTAAGACTGCTGGGAGTTGATTGGGTCAAACCATCTACAACTGACAACGGACTTGTATGTGTAATATGCACGGCGTGTTCAGTGTATCTTGTGCCTGAATTGTGTGATGTAAATCTGTTTATTTGTTTGTTGTTTAACGCCGCACTCAGCAGTATTCCAGCTATATGGCGGATGTCTGTAAATAATCGAGTCTGGACCAAACAATCCAGTGATCAGCATCATGAGCATCGATCTGTGCAATTGGGATATGATGACATGTGTCAACCAAGTCAGCGAGCCTGACAACCTGTCGCCTCTTACAACAAGCATGGGTTATTGAAGACCAGTTCTAACCCAGGTCTTCATGGTTTAATTCTGTTGACAATCATAATTGACCTCAAGAAACCATATACTTGTGTACTGTCTGGTACAGGCCATTGTACATGTACTACAGTTCATACGTATTGCTTGCTTCAAAGCCATACATATTGCTTGCTTTAATGTGACAACTTTCAGGTCATGATATACTCAGGGGCAAAAGAAACTATACTTCACAGTTGGTTTTATCATATTTTGCATTTTTCTGTTAATAATGTCTGAAGTTGAAAATGCCACTTAAGGAAGTTATTCTACTTTTATGCAATAAAAAAAATAACTGCTTCCAAAGTTTTTATTGCTTGTCAAAAGAGACGTCTCTGTATTATGTTTTGTCTAGATGTGTGAAACAAAACTATTGTATAGTTTGGTTGTTTTGTCATGTGCTGTCACTGTGTTTGTTTCAAAACAGGAAATGATTCGTATTGTAAGTAAAGAGGGTCTGTTAGGGTTCATATTTGTATACACCATTATCACATCTGTTTCACATGTAAAGAAACCCTGAGAGACCCTCAAGAAAACACAAATGTACCCATTAATGATAGCTTCATTTATTGCATTGCTTTTAACAACACAGTGAGGTTTAAAACACATGTAAGTATTCATTCACGATAACCGTATTTCATGATCCAATAACATTTCACTTCTTGAAGGTAGTTAGGAATATCAGTTAGATCAGTATCTTTTATTATTAGTTTGTTTTATATTGTTATTGTTATTCTTAAGCAGTGTAAGCCTACAACTTAAAACAGAAATGGATTTAATGCCTGAGTCCAAATAGAATATTGATAATTTATGAAAAACAACATCTTGTATTTTGTGAGTACGACGTTTTAGAACAGATTCTTGTGACATGCGCGTCAAGCAGGACGTTGGTACAAGAATCGGTACAAAAGGTTGCACCCACAAAGTATAAGAAGTTATTATCCATAAGTTTGTCAGTATTGTACTTCCCAACTTCTAAGATACCACTCAAAGAAGTGATTCCATATGCACACCAAATCCCTACATTTAAATGATTCACATGTCCATTCACATGCATGATTCAGACACCTTAATTGAGTTGAGTGGTTTTCATAATTTTCCATTCTGGATATATTGCAATATGATTTTTTTCTTTGTAAAATATATTTGTATTCTATATTTTTATGTGGTTTGACATACTACAGTAGTGTATCCATGCATTCAGTAAACTAGTTTAATTCCCCTGCAACTTCCTTACTGTCTGGGGCGGTGGGGTAGCCTAGTGGTTAAAGTGTTGGCTCGTCACGCCGAAGACCCAGGTTCTAATCCCCACATGGGTACAATGTGTGAAGCCCATTTCTGGTGTTCCCGGACGTGATGTTGCTGGAATATTGCTAAAAGCGGCGTAAAACCAAACTCAGTCAGTCAGTCAGTCCTTACTCTCTTGTCACTGAGCAATTCTTGTTTAATGTCACTTTGTTAGTTAGTGATATCATGTAAGCCTTTTTGTTAAAACAAGTCTAAAGTGAAAGTCAGTGGGGTAGACTAGTGGTTAAATCATTTGCTGACATCACCCTGAAGATCTGGGTTTGATTCCCACTAGGGTACGATGTGTGAAGCCCATTTCTGCTATCTCCTGCAATGATATTGCTGGAATATTGTTAAATGTGGCATAGAACCTCACTCTCTCAACTGGATGATTCCATTTTGGGAAATCGTCATAACTAAGGGAAGGAACTCTGCACGATGTAAATGTCGCCACTCAAGTCACTGTTTAACCTTGTTCACACATTGAGAACAGGTACAGTCCGTTTGGCTCAATAGCAGACCGATGAATTGCAATCTAACTCGAAAACTTATAAACATAACATACTCTATGAAACGCTGATCATAATCAAAACATCATACCCACTCTGTAAGGTTTTTGCAGATTTTTGTCCTAAAAATAAAAAAGTTGTTTAACAAACTATCATTAAAATATTGACACAGTTCACTGTTTGTTACGAGGGAGGATCCCAGAGAAAGGGACAGCCAGGTGTTCGAGAACGGATGGAGACGGCACAGCACAGGTTAATGAATCAATAACTTTGTCTGTGAACGTGCTTCTCGAACACCTGGCTGTCCCTTTCTCTGCACTCCTCCCTCGTAACAAATAGTGAACTCCCAGAGTGGGTATGATGTTTTGATTATGATCAGTGTTTCATTGAGTATTTTATGTTTATTAGTTTTCGAGTTAGATTGCAATTCATCGGTCCGCTTTTGAGCCAAACGGACTATAGTCTTGTCATCTTCATTGTTAATGCAGCATGAAATCCTGCTTACTCACTCGTAACGGACATGACACGACCTCAGAGGTTGTGATAAACGTTAGTCTCCTGTACTCTATAGTTGGTATTAGTACTTTGGTCATTTTCTTTGCACTGTTTAAACATTTTGAAAATATTGAAATAGGAATAGCTCTTAATGCTTAATTCTACCATGACCGAGATACTAATTTCTTGTAGGTCAATTAAAGGTTTCAAATCACAATGTCGTGAATCTCAATAACAGTCCCTTTAGAAAAGAGCATCATCACAGTAGGATTTTCCGTGTGATTTCAAATTTTCAATTGTTGTTCATGCTATTAAACATTGGTTTGTCTATTGAAGAGTGGGGTGGTCTGGTAGTCTCATGGTTAAAGTGTTCACCTGTTCACGCCGAAGACCCGGGTTCAATTCCCCACATGGGTACAATGTGTAAAGCCCATTCCTACTGTCCCCCAACGTGCTATTGCTGGAATATTGCAAAAAGTGGCATAAAACTAAACTCACTCACTCTAGTCAAGACTCATGTATTTAAGAGGGTTGTAACTTTGTCCACTTACATACGTATTGCTGTAAACCTGGTGAAAATATTAAATCCCTTCTCAAATTGGTCATGGTAGAACAGAGATAAACGTACTACTTTACAATAGAAACACTGTACCACCTGTTGTTTTGTCAAGGATTGATTTAACTTTAGAAACTTCACTTCGCACATTTGTACCAATTAAAACTGTAAAATCTGCAGGTTTTAGGGCTGTACTCTCAGTATGTTATCTTATCCTAATTGTACTTGTAGAACAATAATAATAATAATAATAATAGTGAATAGTAAACTGTCAGGATATCTTGCGGTCAGCTAATTGTTGGCAGACATAACACGTGAGATAACAGACATAACATGAAGCACCTAATTTGTTAATTGCATTTTTTCTCATTATTTTTTAATCTAACTTTTTATTTACAGCAAGCATATAGTTTATTTAATTTACTACCTTTTGAATTTTTCAACAATAACAGCTTTTGTTGAATGTTTGAGTACAGTTGATTTGAAAATAAAGGGCAGTTTAAAGGGAAGGTGATCTAATTGTGATATTACTATTTAATATGTAAAGGAAAAATATGTTCAGTGTTTAGAAACTGATTCATTGCACTCAGTGAGTTGCTTCATCAAGTTACCAGTTCATTTTGCCATTATCAATTACCTTATCTGTATATTTGACTTGCTCTTTCAAATCTTTAAATGAATATAGTGCATATTTTTATTTCATGTCAGTGTAGATTGTGTATTTGATATTGGAAACTTTATCTTAAGTAATAGAAAAACTTATCTTGAACAAATTCGTTTCTTCTTGTTTGTTTTTGTTTTTCAAAATCAGAAGTCTAAAGACCCTTTATGCTTAAATTGACATTTCTTATTTTGCAGGATCAGCATACAATTTTACGTTCATGGGCTGTGAAGGATTTTGCACCAAAGTGTCGACAATATGTGCAGCTATTCCGAGCAGAAAATAAGATGCATGTGAAATTTGCAGGTGGGCCTTGCTTTAGAAAAAATAACAAATGTATATTTCATCAAACTATTCTTTATTCAATCATGTAATATCCAGTCCTGTCTCCAAATTGTTACATAATTTCTAAAGTTATGCAAGTATTTACATGAATCTGAGCCTTGTGTTATTTTCTCTCTTCAGAACATGTGGTCTGTGAGGATGAGTTTAAATATGCTTTACTGGCTAACAACTGTCTGTACCCAGGGTTGTCTACCCTTGTTACCTTGCTGTTGCACACATCAAGGGGGAGGTAAGTTATGATTGCTGACTTACTTTTAATCTAAATTATGCGCCCTTTTCATCTCACTGTTTTGGTCATTACAGACAGCAATTATATTTATTTACAATAATTCAGATACCGGGTCAAGAGTTTGAAAATATGTTTTGGAAAATAATTCTTAGATTGTCACTTTTCTAACCTTGATTTCATCTTACTTTGACTGTGGTCAGAGAGGGAGAATTGGCAACAGAAGCGTGGCAACAGGTGTATGGCAGACACTCTGGCAATGAGGTGTATCACATACAGCTGAATCGGAGTGCATTCTTCAGACAGTATGATGGCAAGAAGTTCACAGAGGCTTCAGCAAGTGCTCATACCAGGTGATGATGTTGACAGTGATGAGAGAGTCAAATCTTTGATCAGCATAATGATTTTGTCTTCGAGTGTCATCTTTTGTTGTGAGGCAAACCTAAGGTGAAGTAGGTCCTAGAAGTTTACACTTTGCTGTTAAACCTAGAGATGTAATTGAGTTAACTCTGGATAGATGAGGCTTTTTATGAATTAAAATATTGATTGGACTTCTAGATATTTGAAGTATAGAAAAGGTCACCATTGTTGAACATATCATTTGGAGAATACCCTGTTGTTTGTTTGTTTGTTTGTTTGTTGTTTAATGCCACACTCAGCAATATTCCAGCTATATGACGATAGTCTGTAAATAATCGAATCTGGACCAGACAATCCAGTGATCAACATCATGAGCATCAATCTATTGGGATACGATGACATGAATACCCTATTGATTCTATGTTAAAACAATGAACGTTTCCTTGGCAACAGGTTTGGAGTGTCCCTGGTGGCTGTTCTGGATGTGACCAAGTCTGAGCCGAGTCTGCAGCTCAACCCTGGCCCTGACTACATCCTGAAGGGATCGGACTACTGTTTTTACATGGGGGTCACACGGGAGGAAAACTCCAAGATTAAATCTGGGGCCATGGAGAATGTGTCCGTCTCTGCCAACAGGAATAAGAATATTGGTGAGGATGTTATACATTACGTTGATTTGTTGACATCTGAAGAAAGAGCATTTGTGAAGATGTTTGATGTTATAATGATTGATTAACATCATAAGGATGAGAACATAGGTGGAGATGATTGATGTTATAATGATTGATTAACCTCACGGTGATGCTATGGTGATGAATTAACATCATTTGTATAAGAACAAAGGTGTTATGTGTAAAAACAAACTGGATATAATATAATTTGTTAATAATGAAACAGATTGTGTACAGGTTATGATAAAACCGTAGCTCCTCTTTGGAAGACAAATGAATGCGTTCCTCTCATAATGATTCCTGTTTGTTGATTGGTTTCAGAGTTGATTGCTAACGAGATCCAGAAATGGCTGCAGTCGGAGGGTGAAGGAGAAGACGTAGACGATGAGGAGAGTGTGTTCAGTACGATCACATCCCATCTCGGCTCCATCTCTCGCCGTCTCATGCAGACTGCAGAAAGTATGTACAGTCTTCCGTCAGTCACCTCTAATGTAGTATCTGTTTTCTGGTGTGTTTAGTAAGAAGCTTTTTGAGCATGTTTAAACCACTCCTGATGATGTCACTCCCATTTTATAAAATAATGTTTCCCTCTCATATTTCTAATATTAAGGAATACGTGAAGTTAAGATACAAATTTGACAACAAAATTCCTTGCAGTTGTGTATTATGTGGATAATGCCATATAGTTCTTGTGTTTATGTCAGGGTTTAAGGTACAAGTAAGTCCAAGTGTACACTATACGTGTCATAGGATATAGTAAGGATAGGGAGGTACAGTGTATCATTGTATCTGTACAATGTAGAACATTGTAAAGGGCTGGGATGATACATGACATGATACGTATCACGATAGTGAGGCCACAATGCAATACGTACATGATACAGCAAGATAAAAATTTAATGTCCTGGGTCCATACCTCTTAGTTTGAACTTTAAAAAAACCTTAGTGATAAACAGCCAATCACTGAAAGGTGCTGTGATGAAGTGATCAGATTTCCTGTTCATAACCACTGTCTGGGTTATGTACCAACAGCAGGATCATGATGTACCATTCTCCTCTAATTTTGAGAAATCGTGTTGTATTGGTGTATCTGTTCAAGCCATCAACAACCAGTTGACTAAACATTTGCTTGTTATGTTCCATAATATTGCTGAAATACAACTATTGACAACTTCCAATCTATAGATATCCCCCATATTTTACAAAGCAACGGCATCAGCTATAGTGAGTGAGTGAATATATATGGTTTTACGCCGCTTTTAGCAATATTCCAGCAATATCATGGTGGGGAACACCAGAAATGGGCTTCACACATTGTACCCATGGCTACCCCAACGCCCTGCATCACTGACTGACTGAGTTTGGTTTTACGCCTCTTTTAGCAATATTCCAGCAACAGTGGGGAACACCAGAAATGGGCTTCACACATTGTGCCCATGTGGGGATTCGAACCCGGGTCTTCGGCGTGACGAGCCAACGCTTTAACCATTAGGCTACCCCACCGTCCCCCCTGCATCAGCTATACATAATATTGGAATGAACCCATGAATATTAATAAATGTTAGTGTTACTGATAGCTAGCTTAGTCACATAAGAAATGACTAGATAAGGAGAGGTTTATGTTTCATGATTATAGAGGACTATAGATATGGTCAAAGAGCTTCTCAAATTTGTTTCATATTTTTAATGTTTTGTTTTAATTAACTATTGTTGTCGTGCATGTCTCCATGTTCAAAGTATGTGCACTGTGTTTATCGCTAACTACATACATAGCAGAGTTCATTGACAGTTTGTGTTGTGTGTGTTATATAACCCAGGAATTCAAGTTACTGTATGTTGGGGATATTATTGTTTTAATGAGTCAATCTTAATTCAGGTGAGGAGATTCATTATATATTTTACTTCTCCCAAGTCATGAACAACTTCGATCAACTGTTAATTATATACGTCAACTGACCTTCCAAGTAGTGGAGGGGAGGGTGTTACAGACATAATTTTCACTTTCTGTTAGTAATGCAAGAGTTGCTTCCCTTGTTATTGTAATGTCCCTTCACTATATCGGGGAACATTATTCATGTTATTCAGAATAACGTAAGGTTTCTGTTATACAAACTGGAATTTAAACTAGTAACCTCAACATCGATATATATCAAAAAGACACAGACTGCATCAACCTGGCAATGTGAAAGTATTTGCAGTTTCGGATAACGTGATCAACCCAGGATTTGATGTTATGACCCTATCACGGAGGTCCCTGAATGCAGTTGATAATTACTAGATTCACTCGGATTTCTGATTGATGTTCTTTTATACAGTATGTGTAAGAGTGCATCCTGACAACTAATGTCAGTATTTGGAACCTGACCGATAGTCCTCCCTATGACCCAAGGTCAAAGTGGGCTCATGTAATGGTGTGTTGTCTGTCACTGACAGAGGTCAGCTTTGTTCTAACAACACAATGGATGCTGAGTACAAAAGTGAAAAATATTTAAAAAACGTTGAAATCAGACTTAAATGACTGATCTAGATGGGTTTTTTTGTCTCAAAAACTTTAATTTTTGGTAAAAACAGGGGCGTAGCTACCATTATAAAAAAAAGCCAGGGCTTACACATGATTTTTGCTAATAAGGTTGGACGAGTCCTGAATACTATCTAAATATAAAAGCTTTGCAACCTATTGGGCTTACACGAAGAAATTGGCTTGCTACGTGCCTGATAAATAGAATCATACTAATATCAAATGAATTTATATTTTAGAATATTTATGAGGGGTCCTAAGCCACAAAACACAAAGTGCTTTCAAATGAAAACAAGTATATGATGTTTCAAGTTTCTTTTAATGGCATAGTTTACTCTTTGAATTCACTTAAGATTACCTCCCAAGCTCTGTTTACAGACTGGCGAGTATTGTAAATTACTGAAATAGATTTATGTAAAGAATGTACTTTTAAAAGAAATTAATTAATGATTAATATTCCAAGAAAGGCTACAGTTTTTGACCATATAGCTTCAGGAGTTTTTCACCAACACAGTTATTTCATGTAGATCAAATACAGTCATATTTACATATGGTTATTCAATACTTTATGTTTGCTTTGTCGTTGACGTTATCTGTCCAGGGGGTGACAAATTTATTGTCAATCAGTAAGTCAATATCAAACAAATGCCAACAACGTGAATCGTAATTTGAGTTTTTTATTTTCGACTCCATTAGGATAGATCTGTAAACATGACAAACCAAATAATTAAAACTCTTGTCTGAAACAAAAAAATTCCACTTACCCTGAACCGTACCCATGTTGACATTTGTGTATACATGGTGAGCTACAGAGCTTTTGGACAGTTTCTTTGTCCAAAATGTGAAAACAGTAGAGGCAGTATGTATCATAATCAAATATAGATTTTGCTTTGATGAAATGAAATACCACATTTTTCAAAATGATCTTTCCGGGTACCAGGTAAGTGTAGCAAAGTAACAGAACTTTGTTTAGCTTGGGTGTTCTTAGTTTTACTGGTAGCGGCAGGACCATACTTATGCCTTATTTAATAGATTTTGTTGGGCAGAATGCCAAGATCAGAGGACAGAAAAATTCTTATTTGCTGAGGCCATTCAGAGAGTAATTGATATGAACATAAAATGTTAAGACACAACATATCATGTATGCATTTGAAATTCTGCTCCGTTTTTATATTTTTAAATTTTTACAGTAATCTCATTTGTAAAACAGCAATAAATGTAGTCTGGCCTTATTTGAGTGACACATTTGTTGCTGGAAATATTCCGGTAATGTATTGACCTTATATCCTGACCACAAGTCCAGTGAGATCATATGTCTATTCCCATTTTGTGAGTACATGTATATATATTCCATCTAATGACATCTATGAGTTTGTTTAACTAATATTGTTAAAACATGACTCAATAAAACTCCATATACAGCCAACATTAAGGCCACGTTTCACCCAGTCATGGACCAGATTGTCAGATTGACAGAAGGCCATAGGAGAGCTACAATGAGGCCAGACTAACTTTGTTTGTTTTACAGATGGGCCTGTAAGATATGTCGCAAAAGTAAAAAGTAAATTGATTGTTTGATTGTACAACTGATTCAAACCATGACTCCTCTATATCCTCACAATATTTGTTTTTATTGACTCATCTGTCTTGGCTTAGTGTATAAATTGAAAACAAGACAAAAATGTAATCAATTTACACTATTTTATGGAGATATCTCATTTATCGAAGTCATAAATGCAGATGAAAGGACAGTTTTGTACAACTATCATAATTTCAGTTATACATGTAGTCATATACACTCTGAATACAACATGAGCTATAGTAAAACATGAAACATACAACTTTATGGATGACAACTTCTTTTTTATTGCATAGAGCAATGTTTCGATGTAGATTCTTGCACCATTATCACCTTTAGCTTGATAATGGTGTAAGAATCTACATTGAAACGTCACTCTGAGCAATATACAAGAAGTTGTCATCCATAAAGTTGAATGTTTCATTTTTGACTCACCAACTTCTAGAATGCCAATCAAACAATGAGCTACAGTGCTGCATGTGTAATGTAAATGGTTGGTGGGACATTGTGAATGAGTATGTGCTTACAACAGGGCGAGGTCTCTAATTGATGGATTCGTTACCATGTTGTTAATGTCATCCAACTGTTTATGACCACTCACACTAACCAGGTGAAGGTCAAGGAAGTGATCAGAATGGTGTCAAGGCTGCAAGTCCAACAACTCAATCAACACCGATGTGTAAGGAATCGTGAATGTACACTTCTTTTGAATAACAACCACATACAACCAACTGACTGATCAACTTCATTAATGTAGCTTTCCTCTGTATGATTTGTTGCTATTATCATTCGTTCATCGAGTCACAGACCAGTTGAGCTTGTTATCAAGGCAGTGTCTCATCTCCCAGTCAGTGCCAGACATATTTGGCTAAATTGATGATAAGTTTATGAAGCAAACATGCATATTGTTCCGTCCATCATGAAAGAAAGGCAGTGTCTACCCATCTTTGGCACTCATTTAACTTAATAGCTTAAAGAAAGTGCTGGGGATGAAGTGATCATACCAGCATCTTTGGCTAAATTGATGATAAGTTTATGAAGCAACCAGCATCTTTGGCACTCATATAGCTTAAAGAAAGGTCTGCTGGGGATGAAGTGATCATACCAGCATCTTTGGCACTCATTTAACTTAATAGCTTAAAGAAAGGTCTGCTGGGGATGAAGTGATCATACCAGCATCTTTGGCACTCATTTTACTTAATAGCTTAAAGAAAGGAAATTACACATTTTTAAAGGTGCTTCTATAAAATGTTGTGAACCATCAATAAAATCTGTTTCTATATTAATAGGGGTCAAGGTCTTTTACATGACCTTGTGGAGTGTTTTGCCATGATACCAGATATTTGTAAAAGATATAAATTTAATCAAGGATCAATCATTACACCAGACATGTTGGACAGTTCAAAACAGTATTAGGGACATATGTCTTGGACATGAATATTGAAAAATGATAATGAGGCTGAAATTTAGATTTCAGTCAATGTTTAGACGGCAAATGTCAGTGGCAAATGTCAGTTTGGTAAGAATGCAAGACACCAGTTAAGCACCAATCCAAGAGGGTTTTGATCAAACAATATGAAGTGCAAATATATAGATTTGATGAACTCAGCTTTCTTATGTAAAAAAGTTAAGCAATTATTATGTGTTTGTCAAAGTATCACTTGATATATCGAGTGATTCGATATGTAACTGAATCAGTCTAGTTTGATTTAAAGCATGTATGTGCTTGGCTGCAATTGGCTGCTCAAATCATTTGTTTTCAGTTGATATGATGTATGTTGCATGATTGCATGAAACACTGTTTCAACCTAACATTTTCTGTGATTGCGTTGTGTTAACATCTGTTATTAACATCGCTAACCGATATGATCTCTCCTGGCTAGTGGTCAGTTGACAACTCTCATGACTGGTCTCTGTCGCAATGAAATCAGGGTTTCTTCTGGAGATGTTACACTGAAGTATAGTTAAGCAGTTTCTCATCATCAATTTTAGCAAAACAGAGCTTAAAACACTCAGCAAACAATGTCACCTTCAAAGATAAGCAAGAAAAAAAGATGTAAAAGTGTCTGTAGAACACTTGAACCTATTCATAATAAGCTGAAATGTAACGTTATGATCTACCAGTTCCATGGGTTGAGACTTGTGGTGTGATTACAACATTTGACTGCCTCTAAATGTAGAATTGACACAAGCCCTACGGTATATAAGTTGGTGACTTGTTTTACCTAGTTCGTTAGCAATATTCCAGCTGTATCACGACAGGTGACACCAGAAATCGGCTTCATACATTGTAGCAATATGTGGATTTGACCTCAAGTGTTTAGCTTGACCAGCAGATGCTAGCAACCAGGCTTTGTAAACCAGCTGATGCATGCTGAGACCCAATTTCTACTGATGGCCCCTGACCGGTGGTCATGTACTTAATAAATGATCATTCATAAATGACAAGCGTTAAATTATTTTTGTATCTGTATTTTCATTTTTGGCTTCAGGTATGAAATAAAAAGTATGGACAAAAAAAATGTAAATACAACTGAATACCAGTCTTGTGTGACAAAGTCAGAAAGGATATCCTGGCAGCAATTTCTCTTCATCAACTGTAAAAGATATTTATATTGCCATATCCTCTTGATTAGATTATTTAGTTTCCCTCTTAAACTATAGTGTTATTAATATAGCAGATATTATGTGTAAATTAATTTGATTTTAACATTTTAATGACTAATTTCATCCAATATGACTTGACTCAAATTTCACTCTTGACTGTAATATGATTAACAGATAGATGTGCTATGTAACTTTTAGAATAGTAAGCATTAATTTGCTTACGTTATTGTCATGCGAAGAACAGCTTTGCTTTTTAAGAGGCTATTGTAATAGTAAGCTTTTGTTCTCATTGGTTTCAAAGTTTATTCTGGAAAGTATTGAAAATTAGAAATAAGAGGAGCCTGATATGTTGTAGAAATGATAATCTATTTTCCTATATATAAAATATATGTTAACAGTGTGTTAGATTAGCTCCTGACCTTCTGTACAACTTGTTCCGTCATTTCCAACTGTTTTAGCTAAACGTAACAGTGAAGTTGTGATATGATGGTTCTCACTATGTTGACACTTTAAAGCATGCTGATGATCCTCTAAGGATCATAACCAGAGTGAATTTGGGATTCAAACCACAGCCAGCAGATCCTGTCAGCCAAGGGAGACAACTTGTCTCAATGAACTGAAGTGAATGTTCTATGGGGAATTAGCCATGCCGAGAAAATGTTTGTGTAGGAAAATATCCATGGTGAAATGTCTATGGAGAAATGTCGGTGTTGGGAATTTTTTTGTTGAGGAAATGAGTGAGTGAGTTTAGTTTTACATTGAGGAAATGTCCAACAGAAAAATATGTGTGTGGAAAAATGTCTCTGTGGAGAATATCTATGTGGGGAAAGTCTGCAGAGGGGAAATCTCTATTGGAAATGTCGGTGTGGTAAAATATCTGTGGGGAAATGTCTGAAGGAACTTGTCCTGTCGCTAAATGTTTGTGTGGGGAAATGTGTGGTAGGGAAATCTCTGTGTTCAGATTGTCTTTCATGGGATTGTCTGTGTGGGATTTGTCCGATGTGGAAATGTCCAATGTGAAAATATCTGTGATGGTAATTGTCCAGGTGAGAATTTGCATGGCCCCTGAATACTACCGATCCACCTTATGAAGGCAGTTATACAATCAGTTGATGAGTCAGCAAGTAAAACCACACTTTAGGCTTTTACATTACAATGATAGATCAAGGAGCTCGGTAACGTACATCATTGTGAACACACTGATAAACAGATCCTCTGACCAATACTAAAATGGAAGGTAACTAGTCAGAAATAATAGGTGGGATTTATGAATCCCCCCAAACTGCAGTATGGCACTCTATGCTTGATGTATGTGCAGATCTGAGCATGCTTTTAGGGATGTTCTATGTTACATATTACATACATTTTGATTACATAGTTCTCACTGGTATATACCAATGTGTTGTTTTCCATGAAGATGTGATATTTTTAATATGTACTTTCAGTTAAATGGCCAAGATTTTATCTTTACAGAAACAAATTATTACCTTGCATACATGAGTTGATTTTTCAGGAAAAAAAATTACATCGGGGATTGGACCTTTCAAAATTCATGACAAAATGTTTCCAAATCCTCTTTCCCCACAACTACCTATAAAAAAACTTTAAGAATTTTTCTAGTGTGTATTTTCTGTTCAAACAAACATATATTTAAGATATCTAAATCCTGTTTTGTTACATTTTTAATTATTTCAGAATAGTATTCTGTTAGTTATTGAATACCATTTTTTTTAATCACATAATGATATCACTACCATTCAATACATTTGATATGATGAAATATATTTCCATTGATGTAAGGAATTTTAAAATTAAGTATTTTTTTTTCTAAGAAATGTGATAGTAATAAACTAGGAGTGACAGAGGAATACATTTTGTGATGTACATGTTGCAGCGCTGCCGCTGTTGAAGATCACTGTAGACAACATTGGGGAGTCCAGTGAACCCAACTCCCCGGAGTATGACTGCCAGGACAGTCTGGACACTGTGAATGAGTCGACTCCCTCGCCTATGGGTAAAGTCATGGGGCTGTTTCCAGAGGCTGCTGTAGATGGGTGAGGATTAGGGATGTAATGCTACATCTAACTAGCAAGGCGTTTTTTTTGTCTCTTGTTTGATGGTGATACGTTGATGCGACGATTTTGATAGTTGACATGAATACCACTCCATATCATTGACTGTTTTGATTGATGTTTGAAATGACTTATTGCTGAATATCAACACCTCTAGTTTGCATTTTACTATCTTTTGTTGTGAAAATAAACTTTGTTCACAGTTGAGATGGGACTGATGGTTGATGGGATTTTGTTCATGGGTGACATAGATGTTATGGTATTTATGTGTGAGATAGTGGATGGTTAATGGGATAGTGTTGAAGGGTGAGATAGTGGATAGTTAATGTGATGTTGGTTATTGGTGAGATAGTGGATAGTTGATGTGATGGTGTTGATTGGTGAGATAGTGGATAGTGGATGTGACAGGGTTGAAGGGTGAGATAGTGGATAGTTGATGTGATGGGGTTGAGATAGGGATAGTTGAGAGTGGATAGTTGATGTGATAGGGTTGAAGGGTGAGAGAGTGGATAGTTGATGTGATGATGGGGTTGAATGGTGAGAGAGTGGATAGTTGATGTGATACTGTTGATTGGTGAGATAGTGATGTTGGGTGAGACAGTGGATAGTTGATAGTGATGATTGGTTGAAGGGTGAGATAGTGGATAGTTGATGTGATGGTGTTGAAGGGTGAGATAGTGGATAGTTGATGTGATACTGTTGAAGGGTGAGATAGTGGATAGTTGATGTGATACTGTTGAAGGGTGAGATAGTGGATAGTTGATGTGATACTGTTGAAGGGTGAGATAGTGGATGGGTAATGTGATACTGTTAAAGGGTGAGATAGTGGATGGGTAATGTGATAGTTGGATAGTGGATGGCTAATGTGATACTGTTGAAGGGTGAGATAGTGGATAGTTGATGTGATACTGTTGAAGGGTGAGATAGTGGATAGTTGATGTGATACTGTTGAAGGGTGAGATAGTGGATGTGATGTGATACTGTTGAAGGGTGAGATAGTGGATAGTTGATGTGATACTGTTGAAGGGTGAGATAGTGGATAGTTGATGTGATACTGTTGAAGGGTGAGATAGTGGATGGGTACATAATGTGTGATGGATGAGTAATATGTGGGTGCTGCATTTGTAATAATGATAGGGGTGTTATAATGTGATATCTGAATGGTTTCAGTTTATGCATTGAATGTGAATAAGAAGTTGCAATTTTAAACAAAATAATTTATTATGATAATCATTCTGCACATAAATCAGTCATCTGATCTTAGCTGGTCGTGGATGTCCCTGTCTTACTGCAAGGATGGCCCTCACCCCACCCCTTGTCTGTGCAGGTACATGACAGGCTCCCCACCCAGCACCCTGTACGTGGGGACACGGAGGACCAAGTGCCACCTTCACAGGGAACCAAGACCCTACTGCTGTCTGGAGTGGGGACAGGTAATGCCACATACTCTTGCATTATAAACTTGTGTGGAGTGAGAATTACTGGTTTATTGTGGGTAACATCTGGGTTACCAAAACAGTAATAATTTGTGAAGTTCATTCTGTTGTCAAAGTCTTATAAAGCTACTGTTTTAATTCAAAAGTATGACATAAGTATTACTGCATTTGAACTCATATGCCTACTTGCATATCTGTGAGGATTCCTACAATGATAACCCGTGAAGGTCCAGGTTAGAATATTGACCTTCAGTAACCCATGCTTGTCGTAAGAGGCAACTAACGGGATCGGGTGGTCAGGCTTACTGGCTTGGTTGACACATGTCATCGGTTCCCAATTGCTCAGATCGATGCTCATGCTGTTGATCACTGGATTGTCTGGACCAGACTCCATTATTTACAGACCGCTGCCATATAGCTGCAATATTGCTGAGTGCGGCGTAAAACTGAACCCACTCACTCACTCCAACAAAGATAAGGCATATCATTAAGTACGAAAAGTGTAGGCTTCTCTGAATGTTTGTGTAGAGGAGGGTGAGTGTTGATATATACACTGGGTCATGGACAACAATGCTTCAACATTTGTTTGTCAGTTGTACTATCATCATAGCTTAGTGTATTAACCTATAATAATGTGTCCTACATTAGATATACATGTAGTTGGGTGTGTTACAGAACTGTGACCACTGTCAGACCAAGACGGCCAAAGATGACCACTGGAAAGGCCAGATCATCATCCTGGCTGCTGAGTACGCCAGTACCGGGATCTACAACTTCATTGTGCCGCTACGGAGCAGCTTCCATAGCCTCGGCTGTCTCAATCCTATAGTTCTACTGCTGGAACAAGAGTATGTTACACATAGCTGAAGCTGCTAGCTTGTCTAGATCCATGTGGGAATTCAAGTATTAAGTTGTCTCTAATACAGAATGAAAGAAGTACATAGTGTGGAAATCTTGGCCAAAATGGTCGATGAATATAGCAGCACTTGTGTGTAACCTTTAGGAACCAGTACCATGTAGTTATAATCTTGCTAATTAATGCTGCCCTCACATCTGTGTCAACTGACACTCATATTGGGGGCTGTCACTCGTTTCGTTGGTCAATGTCAGGCTGCAGTTATTGCTGTGGTATATCACATATATTTTAAATGAATACTGTAGGATATATTGCTGATGAATACTGTAGGATATATTGCTGATGAATACTGTAGGATATATTGCTGATGACTATGGTGTTATATAGAGAATCTCACCCGAGTGTCTCTTGATATCAAATATATCACCACGAGTTTATGAAGTTACAAATCTGAGGCTTGCCGAGGATATTTTTACTTTTATCAAGTGTTGATATATTTGATATCATAAGACACGAGGGTGAGATTCTATTTGTCATTAAAAATCACTCCTCATTAGTTTTCAATGAAAAATGTACATCTCTGAACATGGTACTGCCATTAGACTTGCAGAGCAGCGTTTTCTTAGTATTGTGATGTCATCAGGTTTTTGACATCATAGCATTGTGAGTCATGTAATTAAAGATGTCAGGACATTGTATAAAATCTACTGTCAAAACAATATCTCCCAGGAGATCCCGTTTGATCTCACACAATCAATATCTCGTGTGGAACACAGTTTTGGATGATCATGAGTGAATGTGTTTAGATTTACGCCACACTCAGCAATATTCCAGCTATATGGCAGCGGTCTGTAAATAAAAACGGATCTGGACTAGACAATCCAGGGATCAACAGCATGAACATCGATCTACGCAATTGGGATACGATGACATGTGTGAACCCAGTCAGCAAGCCTGACCACCCGATCCCGATTAAGTCGCCTCTTACGACAAGCATGGGTCACTGAAGATCAATTCTAACCCGGACCTCTCATGGGTTTTGGATGATAGATATTGCTTATGTGCACTGTGCTATATATTGTCAACGGGTACTGTGATGCATGTGTATGTTCACTTGTATTTCTTGTACTTCCAGACCAGACACAATGTTCCTGGAGACTATAGCTGCATTCCCTCTTGTCTACTGGCTACAAGGCAAAATCTCCAGGTATCAATGTTTATATCTCCCTTTAAACTAAAAACTAAAAATAAAAAAGAGTGAGTTCCATCACCAGTAACTGTGTGTCCTGAACAGTATTCTCTCTACAAAGCGAAATCATTCTTAGAGTTCTTTGTTTTCAACCCACAGCATCGATGACCTACTTCGTGCTGGCATCAACCACGCATCTCATGTCGTCATTTCCAATAAAGAGTCGGACATTGACGCCAGTGAAGAGACTCTTGCTGATGCAGAAACAGTTGTGACAGTCCAGAAAATATCCAGGTAAGTCTTGATCCGTCACGAGGATCCATGACCTACTTCAGTGCTGGCATCAGGATCCATTCCACAGAATGACATTAGCATTATGACTCTCATAAGCCAAAGTAAAGTATGGATGTTATGATCACCCTAGAGCTGAGTTCGCTATGTGGAATGAGGCACAATATCTTCCAGCCATTCTTTGTCATGTTGCAGACCTACTATAGTGAAAATAGGGGCTGCGGGGTAGCCTAGAGGTTAAAGACCTGGGTTCGAATCCCCGGCCCAGTATCGTTGCACAGCTTTCAGATAAAATCGAGCAGTCTTATGCGAAAATTTCGAAGAGCTTCATACCTATCAGGGTTGTACAATATTCGAAGCTTCAGTAGTTGGGGCGGTGGTGTAGCCTAATGGTTAAAGCGTTGGCTCATCACGCTGAAGACCCGGGTTCGAATCCCCACATGGGTACAATGTGTGAAGCCCATTTCTGGTGTCCCCTGCCGTGATGTTGCTGGAATATTGCTAAAAGCGGCATAAAACCAAACTCAGTCAGTCAGTATAGTGAAAATAGACAGTCAGTAATGCCAGGTGCTCCTTAACTTGTTTTGAGAAGTATGTGTAAGTGGACGAACCATACCAAATCTCAGCAGTGACCTGATTAAGTGTGGAGCAGCATGAGACTGGAACCAAAACATAACAATGTTCTTGTTTTTCAGTATTTATTGGCCCTGTGTGGTAGTTAAAGAATACGGTAGACTGTGGTACTTTTCAGGTTATTCCCCAGCACCAATGTAATCACGGAGCTGAATGATGCTTCCAACATGCGCTTCATGCTGTTCCAGGCACATGATGTATACTCTCAGGAGATCTCCAAGCTGGAAAAGGTACATCTTCCGCAAGTTCACTTAATGTTATTTTTATGTACTGGTTAATTCTAACTATAAGTTATGGTACATTTCAAGAGTATTATAGACATCTGTCATTGCAGGTGTAGAAGATTGTCACTGACTCATAATAATATATGTATTTATGATAAGCAGTTGTTTTTGTAGCTGACAAAACACAAATTCATAGCATGAATTATTCAAAATACCATTAACTTATGGACTATAAATTTCAATTGACAGTACATTGTATATCAAACAGGGCGGTGGGGTAGCCCAGTGGTTAAAGCATTCGTTCGTCACTCCGAAGACCCAGCTTCAATTCCCCACATGGGTACAATGTGTGAAACCCATTCTGGTGTCCCCCGCCGTGATTTTGCTGGAATAATGCTAAAAGCGGCGTAAAACTAAACTAACTCACTCACTGTATATCAAACAAACTTAATGGAAAATCTTTACTGATAGTTTATGAGACTATCTGGTGTAAAGTTTGATTGAAATATTTATGTTATTTGTTATCAAACATATTTTATATATGTCTCCCAAACCATAACAGAAACACTTAAAATGCAGTATTTTTAATGTCAGATGTATAGATCTATTTTCTATTTTCAAAGGTTATGCCTTCGATTTGGACAAGATTGAATGATACACTAGGATATCTCAATACTTCTTACGATACCATTTTACAAGTGCAGGCAACTCAATTAACATACATGACTGATCCTTATCTATAGCCAATATGAAGTGTATGGAATTAATGTAAACTTTGACAAAATTGTTTTTCATTTGAGTCTTATGGGGACCTTTTCTTTCTATTCAGTGAAAATATTGCTGTTACTTATAAAATTCTAAACAAGGTATTGTGCTTTATGGGTGACAATTGAAGATATTTTAATTCATTTTAATTCAGTTGATGCTTATCATGATAGCATTGACTGTTTTCCCCAGAAACTGAAGGAGAGGACCAGCTCCAACTTGCCACATCTGTTCCGACTCCCATTCGCTGCAGGGCAGGTGTTTAGTGCAGGGATGTTGGACAGACTTCTATACCAGGTACAGCTGCACTCACCTTCTCACATATCCAGCAAAGACATCAATGACATGTCAAGTCTGGCATACAAACTGTCTTCTGATGTCATAGCTATGACTGACATGTAACAAATATGCTGACTCATCTTTGATTGACAGCTAGCAAAAATTCAGACTTCGCATATTTTGTTCACGATGTATCTATGATGACAGCATTCCAGACAATAATAGTAAACGCAACTTTAAGATTGAATCAGAGTTCAGATCAGGCCCCGATTTCTCAAAACAAACTTAAGTCTGAGTTTTGACTTAAGTCAGAGTTTTTACTCAAATTTGAGAAAACGCCGGAAATGCATTTTCCAGAAAAAACTGAAATCAATATTAAACTCAAACTTAGTAGACAATTTGAGTTTGGTGGATAGATTACTTAAGTTGTTTGGGCTTTTTTATTTAAAAAATGCAGTTGAGTTAAAAATTCAGCTGTGTCAAATTGTCAAACTCAGTTTGAAATTTGAGAAAAACTTAAGTTTGTTTCGAGAAATCGGGCCTGATCTGTGGCTTTATTATTCCCTTCTGTGGTAGATCCAACTTTGGTATCTTCACATTGGGAGTGGAGAGTTACACTCAGGAAGGAGATATATTGTATGATTTGTATAGCAGTATGTGACATTTCTTAGGTAATTTGTACACAGCCCAATACTGATACGCATTAAAGTAATAAAATACCACTTTTACAGAACACAAGAATAAGAAGCAGTAATGATAGATAATGTGGTAGATATTCAGCTAACTTAATCCTCGATTAACTAAATTTATTGATTCTATTTGCCAACAATGTCACACAAATTACAAAAAGTAAAATTGTAACATTACCATAACTGTTTCTCTTCTTCGAAAACTAAGTTAGTAGATAAATAAAATACCCACCTGCTGAGCATATCCTTAAAACTCAGAGTGCCTTCTTCCACTAGCAGACGGTCATCTCAGGTGAGCTCCTTACTAGAACTCTTGGCGTCCTGCAGTGAAGGTTGCACACTCTGTGATGGAGCTTGTAGCTTGGGAAATCATGGGAGATAACTCTAACTCGTCCTTAGTCTAAACAGTGAGACTAACAGCATGGGATGTTGAATCTTTCCTTGATCTGTTTACATTTCTTATTATTGTAATATGAGAGCCTTTCTAAATTTTCTATTCATCTTAATTTTTAAAATATTAATCGTTACTATTTCATTGATCATGAAGAAGAATAAGAGGAAGGTGTCAGTAAAATGTTTGCAATCTATCTTTGCATCTTTTCTTTCCCCCAGACGTTTGTGAAGGGTTACCTGATCAGCTTTGTACGATTGCTTCTTGGCATCGACGCTCAACACAACTCTGGCCATCTCTCCAGTGTAAGTATCCAGCTTTGACCATCATATCAATATGGCTGAAGGGGTCGTTGTCGGCACAGGTACTACAGATATGTACCCCAGGTACGTTTCTGTATACAGACATGTACCCTAAACAAAGTCAAACTACAGAAACGTACCCGGTACCCTAAACGACGGACGAGTCCATATTCCGCGACCCAATACCGAAACCGTATGTAGTCATTCCCGTTCAGCTGATTGCGAGTGGTGTACGTTGAGCACAGTGAAATATTCGTTTTACTGTGTATGCTCTTATATAACGCAATCAAATGCATCTAATACAACAGTATGACAGTTCCGATCAAGAAAACTCCACAATGCAGAATGGAATCGTCCTAGGGTACATTTCTGTATTCTGATTATGGCAAGGGTACACATCTGTAGTAACCGTGCCGACAACGACCCTTTCAGCGTTACTATGGCTAACAATTCTCAATAACTGAGAGCACCCTTAAAGCACAATGAATCACTCATCTCATGATTTGGCTTCTGCTATTACACTCAATGATTCTTGTTTAACATATGTGTTCAATTTAATACTAAGAGATTAGAGTCGTTAACTCTGAAAGTTCGAATCCTGCATGGGACTCAACCCCAAAATGTACTAGAATCTGTACTTTCCTGAGAAAGTGTAATCCCAAATATAACATTTGGTACATTTGACCACTTTCAAAATGACATTGTGTGCATTGCTAGCTTTCTTCCGTGGCACTCGTCAGAGGGGTACACAAGCTATGTGATCTTGACTACAAGTGTCAGACTTTCATTTCTGGGCAAGACACAGTGGCTGAGTGGGTTAGATTGCTGACTTCGTGTGCTGGCGATTAGGTGCCTGACTATGATGAGACGCAACCTAACAAAAGTAAAATTATTGGCATGATGTTCGAACTAAGGTTGTTTACCTGTGCTTGATCACTGACAATGAAGTTCACTTACAATGCTTTTATAAGAGTCCAACATTTGAATTTTTGTGGTGTTTAAGGTGATTTTTATAGCAAATATAGTATGTAACTGAAATTCAGTTAAAGCTGAAGACTTTGTTAGCATCAGCATCCAAGTCCAAGTTAAGAAGGTGATATGACTGTGTTACAGGTGAGGGTCCGGAGGGCCACATTAGCTCAGTTCCCCACCTACGGGGATCTGTATCAGGGGCTGTGTTCCACCACAGGGGAGATCCCCATCGCCATCTACCGCTCCGAGAAACGACCCACGCCTGTTGTGTCCTCGGACCCAGACCTCAGGGTAAGGTCTTGCTGTTATCATCTACACTACCGCTCACAACTACTCACCTGTTAGAAACACTAGAGACTGTTCCAGAAACATCTCTAGATATAACTTCTTTGAGTGGCATTTTAGACATTGGGGAGTACCATATTGACAACTTTAAGGATAACAACTTCTTTTATTTCGTGATTGCGATGTTTTGATACATCGTCACACTCACGCAATATAAGAAGTTGATATCCATAAAGTTAGTCAATATTGTCTCTTATGTTTATGTCATGTTATGGGGGCAAACGAGTATCCTAGTGGTTAAAGCTTTCGCTTGCCACACTGAAGACTCAGGTTTGATTCCCATAATGAGTGAAGCCCATTTCTGGTGTCCCCTGCTTTGATTTTGCTGGAATATTACTAAAAGTGGCATAAAACCATATTCACTCACTCTTAGTTTTGTATTCAGCACATTGCTCCTCAACTAGTCACAATTAGCTCACATTCTCTGGATATTGAGGATCTGCGCCCTGCATGACAGCGTTGTATCTCTTGCAGAGAAGAAGTTTGGTTTTTCTAGGCTTCAGAAGTAATTTGGACTAACATTTATGTACCTATTTTACAGAGTATGAACAATAACATCAGTAAACCAAGGCAACCACGAGGCCCGATGAAGTATAAACAGTCTATCGCCAGTCGGATGTACTTCACCGACACGGATCAGAACGAGGCTCGAGATCTCATCAACAGCAGAATGAAGAGTCTCAACATTACGGACAAGCAGAGTAAGATGACTGGAAGCTTTTTTAGTTTAGTGTTGACAGAGTTGTCTTTGATATTCCAATGGCAAAATGTTCTCATGTAATGTTTTTATCTAGTGCTGGAAGGGTTATCTCCCTTTGAATTTTATTCCACGAGAAACCTTAATATGGTAATTCCAAGAGTAGGTAATGGAGAAATAGTGATAATCTGTTGATTCCAGAAGTAGAGTCAATAACTCATGAAAGTGTGAGAGAATTCTATGTCTGGAATCAACAGCTTCCAATGATTTCTCAAAGTTCAGCCATGTTATACTTGATATAGTTTCTCAATAAGTTGATTAGGGACCGTTCATAATTTATGGCTAGGGGGGGTTGATGATGATTTTAAGAGGGGTCACCCATTTTGTCCTGGGAAGGTAGGGTGGGTCAGCAATTTTGTACAAATGTTTCTATGGGGGTCAGCAATTTTGTGCATAAAAATATTTAGAAATTATGCTTAAAAAATATTGGAAGGGGGAGGGGGGATCATTGATTTTGTACATGACACGCAGGGGGGACACTTACTTTGTACATAAATTATAAGGGGGGTCATTCACATTGTACATTCTTCTCCATAAAAATCATCATCAATCAATTCATGGCCATAAATTGTGAACGGTCCCTTATTGACATGTATTTGCATTGGTTTAACTGTTAAAAAATTACATGAAATACAATTTAAATATAAACTGGCACTTTCATAACATCACTGTTTATAGTAAAAAAATTATATTCTAGAGATCTACTGAAGGTTAACAGCCTTCACAGCTACAGTTGTTAATGTGAATGTTCGTTTGTTGTCAAACCCTGTCATTCATGGAATAATCTTACTTGAACAGGTTCAGCCAAAGAACAAGATAGCTTGCTGTCCTATGTGATTGTGAACCCCTCTCCCAAGAGGAAATTGAAAAATGGAGATATGATGTAAGTTTATTTTTCACCTAATAGATAATTTTTTAAGTGTAATAGACCAGTCCTGAGCATATAAGTCCACCATTTGTAAAAAGAATATCTAGACTATGATTATCTATGATTAGAGATTGTGATTCACATATGTTCCCTTTTGGTAAATAGGATATATTAGAAAGAAGAAATGGTATTCTGCAATCCAAACCAACATTAATCTTGTTAATAATGACATATTATCAGAGCTCCAGATAAGATTTAGCTCATGTGGGTACTGTACCCACTGTAATTTTTTGGAGTGGGTATTATGAATGTTGAGTGGGTATTTCATTTTCTGTTACCCACTGCTTTCAAATATGTGCGTATTTCAGTCATTTTACTCACCTAAGTATATATGTCATTGAGTAAGTTTACTAAGCAGGTATGTCCTGCCTTATATCATACCTAATCAAAACCAACTTAAATATAATGGAAATGATTTCATAAAACATCACTGATCCTATACTGACAGTACAACACTTGTCCTATACTGACAGTACAACACTTGTCCTATACTGACAGTACAACACTTGTCCTATACTGACAGTACAACACTTGTCCTATATTGACAGTACAACACTTGTCCTATAGTACAACCCTTGTCCTATACTAACAGTACAACTTGATAGCAATTAATGTCTTTTTCATTACGCAAGCGATTTTTATAAATATATTCCGTACGCATTTGTTTTAAACTTTTTGTGTATCTAACATTTTAAATGTGTAATTGGTACGCAACAATTATTTTTCAATGCGTAATTGGAAATTTTCTATGCGTATTTTACCCGGATAAGGCAGCTTATCTGGGCCTCTGTATTATTTTAAGGAAACCCTGTTGGCTAATAAATGGCTGAGTAGTGAGCATGGTGAGGGATGCTAGCCATCAGTTGCACCCTCCATGTATCCAAGTATCATTTTGTGAGAGAGCCTCGATGTTTCTATCCCCGACTGCGTCACACCAGAGGCAATTATAATACATTTACCGGTAATACCCCATATGGGCACAATGTGTGAAGCCCATTACTGACATCCCCCTCCGTTATAAGGCTCGAATTTTGCTTAAGCAGCATAAATAATCATGTCTAGACCAGACAAATCAGTGATCAACATCATGAGCATCGATATACGCAATTGGGATACGATGACATGTCTTGCTGACTTGGTTGACACATGTCATCATATCCCAATTGCATAGATCGATGCTCATACTTTTGATCACTGGATTGTCTAGTCCAGACTTGATTATTTACAGACCACCGCTATATAGCTGGAATATTTCTGAGCTGGGCGTTGAACAATAAACCAAGCAGCGTTAAACTAAACTCACTCACTCATTCTCTCGAACCAGAAGGCTTCCCAATTTGCTCCCAGGTGTATAGACTCACGTCAATATGATTAAGCTACCGATTAGTGAGGTTCTAAAAGATGTTCCTTTCCTTTCTCCTGTACAGTTATGTGATACAACCAAGTACCATGATGGCCGTCCCAAGCAAACAGAGATCAAAGACCCAGAGAAATGTCTCAGCTAAACATTCGAACTTCACAGTAAACTCTGTGTCCACACCACCTCTAGCCCGGACATCCCAGACTCGGGTCAGCTGGAATCTAAATGCCAACACGGAAAATCGGAAGCCAAATGGATTACGACCCAGTGATTATCGATCCCGATCAAAATCAGAATCTCAAGTGCCTGAAAAGGAGTGATAATGTTCCTGTTTCTGTAAAGGCAGAACTATCGTCAGTCGAGGTTGACATCTGCATGAACAATATGATCCTTGTGTCTACATGTCAGGATCAAGATGCTGATGTTGACATCAGAGTGAAACCTTTGTACCTTACATTATACAACTAATGATCTCCTTTGTACGAGGATTGTACATTATATTTGACCAAACTTTGAGCTGATGGATGAACTACAGATCTAAAGGTGATGTCTGGATGTGTAAACTTTCTTTTTGTTACCTTAGATCACAGATTGTCATTTTAAAAGTTTACACTGATTTCTCAAATGCTCTAAAACCTGACTTTCGATCATTTGATATCTCCATTTGCTATCTCTAAGTGTGAAAAGAAATATTCCTCAAGGTAAAATGGAAAGTTCCTAAATATGAAAGAAATATTATGAGGACGTCCATATTGTAGTGGCCACCTGCTTCATGGAAACACAGAGGAAGTTGTGTTAGAGTCAGTAAGATGTTATTGTTTTTTAAACTGTGAAGTTTTATTATACAATCATGATCAAAGATGAAGAAATTTTAATTTATGAAACTTTTCTCAGTTTTGTTAAATCATGTCAATACAGTCACGCTGATGACCATGGATTGTGTGCAATGAGATTAGATATGTGTAGTGCTCATAGTGTGGAAATTGGATTCACAGAGATGATGCTTTTATTGTGGGAACAGCTGATGTTCACGTGCGTACATGCATCTGATTAAAATAGTCTTTTGTTATTGTAATAACATGTAAATTTTGTCACACATTACTTTAAACAAATGAAAAACTCAAATGAAACATTTATAAGCATTTATATCCATGGTATTTGTTCTTTCGGAATGGATGAGGAAGACCAATTTTTAGATGCTGTATATATTGGATATCCGATAAATTCATATCTGGAACCTGGACTAGTTCCAGCCCAGCATCTGATGAGAGATTCCAGATGCGTCCTGTGCAGGCACCATCAGTTTCATGTTGTATTCCATCGCCAATCTATTTTCAGGATGTGCCCATTTGTAGAAGGTTTATTTGAAAACGTTAGTGGTAGAGAAATAGTTTCTACATATTCTTGATACTTGGTGTTCAAGTATTTTGTTGAGTTTGTTGAATTCATTGTTTTTTTATGTGCACATTTGAAACATCAAGAGAGAATTACATGTATATACATTTGAATACTCAAACAAATGTTTTTTGCTATTGTAAACAAAATGTCGATGTCATTTGAAATACACTAGTCTTTAGTTTCTCTGGGAACAGTTGGATAGATGAACTGCTGTCTACATGGCTGAAGTTTCCTCGAGTACCACTGAATCAAGTCTTCTGACAGATAACCACAATGTTATTATGTCTGATTTGATAGCAATGGTATTATGTCTGATTTGATAGCAATGGTATTATGTCTGATTTGATAGCAATGGTGTTATGTCTGATTTGATAGCAATGGTATTATGTCTGATTTGATAGCAATGGTATTATGTCTGATTTGATAGCAATGGTATTATGTCTGATTTGATAGCAATGGCGTTATGTCTGATTTGATAGCAATGGTATTATGTCTGATATGATAGCAATGGTATTATGTCTGATTTGATAGCAATGGTATTATGTCTGATTTGATAGCAATGGTATTATGTCTGATTTGATAGCAATGGTATTATGTCTGATATGATAGCAATGGTATTATGTCTGATTTGATAGCAATGGTATTATGTCTGATTTCATAGCAATGGTATTATGTCTGATTTGATAGCAATGGTATTATGTCTGATTTGATAGCAAGACATCCTTCGTGGTTGTGGCCAGCATTCCATTAAAACAATAATCAGACCAGTACCTGTTTCTTCCATATGGTTTCATCAGCCATTGCCCCAAACAATGTACAAATCAGTAACTGAGGGTCTTCTTCCCTCTAATTGCATAAACCATTATTCATTTTGATAGACAGATTAATAAACAGCTTAGAAGTCAGGGTTCATATCACTCTATATTTCCTCCAATGCAAGAAATGAAATGGTTGCTTTGTAACAATTCTCGAGTTAGTAAATATTTTGATGATGATGATGATGATGATGATGATGATGATGATGATGATGATGATGATTTTTGTGTGTGCTTTCCGACTTAATGCCTGGTAAACAGAAACAATCCAGTTTCTGCCCAATATGTGCATTCACCATTCCTCCAAGATGGCAACCATGTTCTTTCAATTATCAATCATTCCTCTTATCTAAATTAACAGACTTGTAGCCAGAGTTCTGCATCAATAACTCTTCCGAAACTGACTGGTAGCAAGAACTGTCACCAGCTGTTGCAGCAATCATTCCATACACATTATTTACAGAATAGGGTTCTTACCATTGTTCCATTCCTGCACAGAATCATTTTGGTGCTTCCACTGTATGACTATATACATCATTCCTCAAAATAGAATAGTATCTAGTCTTCTTCCAAATAGTTTCTTCAATCAATCGTCTGAAGCAGGTGAATCAGTAGATGTACTTAATATGAAAAAAACCCGATCCATCTTTCTTCCAGTCCTAACCAGAATATCAGCCTTGGTTATTTCCTCATGTGTTTTTACCATAAGAAGGATTACACACAAACATACCAATGATGGAATAGAGAAGCCCAGTAATGTAATTTGAAATCCCACTAGTGCAACCAAGGGAGATTACTCTGCTGGAAGTACACTGGCCAGTTGTCATTTCATATAGATAGCATTTGTGTTTGTATATATTGTTAATGGCATATTGATCTGATTGTTTATGAAAAAATACTCTCTCAATACAATTCTCAATTTGATGATGGTTGGCTTTGATGGTAAATGTTAATGATTTCATGGTGCTCGTTTTAAGCTGATAAATACAATATTCCTGTATGTAAAGAATGTAAGTACAGTTGAAAGAAATTAGTAAAACAATTCTTTAAATATTTCAGTGCTATGTCATCGTAACTTTGGTGTTTATGTGAAGGAATGGCTTTAATTATGTTCCAGTACCCACTTGCTAATAACTGTGACCAAATTTTGGTCCTTGAAATTTCTGCAAATGTCACTCATAGTTTTATCTGCATACTGCATGAATCTCACATTCAGTATTTATTTCATAGTATTTCCCTATGTTATGTTGAATCTCAATGGTATAACATTTGGGGATCAGTGATCAATATGTATATTCTGTACGTGTATTGTAGTTTTGTAGAATATCTAGTGCTGGCAGTTATGAATGTTTTCCACTTTATTGTGCAACTGTTTTGACGAACCACGAGTGTTTAATTTGCGTGGTACAGTTTGTAGACAAGTGTATCAACTTCTCACGGCCCCTTATGCAGCTTATCGTTAGGCCAGACGTTTTTATACATTGTTTATAAATTTGTTTTTTTAAGTTCTCATTTAGGTAAATTCAGGCATATTTGTGTTCTTAAAATAGTTACTAGGTATTGTTGGTCTGGTTTTCTAGTCTTGCAGTTTAGTCATGTATGCATAATAGAGTTAGAGAGTGCAGATTAAGAGTAACCTCCCTTTCATACATGGAAAAACAGGACCAGGTCAAATCAGATGTGGACAAAAATTGTCTGATTCTGTCATTGACCGTTTTGTATATGTCGTTTAGATCAGCCAATAAGTTTGTATTGCAGATTAAAGTTGTTTACTTTGTAATATTTTTATGTTTGGCTGATCTGTAAACTGATTTTAAAACAAACAATCTTTGTTATATGTTTCCTAAAATGTCTGCCAGGTTGTGAAGAATCAGCTTCCACACCCTGAAAGAGGAAATGGGTGTTTTTGACAATTTTTGCTTGATATTTTGCCTGTGATAACCAATAATTCCAAATATTTTTATTCCAAAGATTGTTAGTAATGTCTATATATTGAATAATATCATTCCTGTATAGCAGTCTTTCTTAAATGTCATTCCGTTTTATGGATCATGCGTGTTAGAGATCTGATGGTGATTGACATTGATATGCATTTGATGTTTAACTTTTCATCAGCATAATACCAGATGCTTACCTTGCCATACCTTATATTCAGCTGGTCTTGATCTGTTGGGCGTTCAGTATGTCTTACTGAAGTGTTGTGTCATCTGAAAAAGACTTGTTGCACTTTTGTACTATTTTTTTACCTCTGACAATTGTCAGTAATACATTACCATTGATTGATCTAAGAAGTATTTATTTCAGGTGTAAACTCTTAAGTGTGCATGAATGGATGTTTTTTTTATAATTCTATTCTAGGCCAGACCAATTTTATTTCTTGTTTTATGGATCCGCCGGTCGTATTTTTTCAAGAATAAGAAAAAAAAATACAAATTAATTTTCCCCTCTCAAAAAATAAAATCCTCATGTTTTTATTGGCCAAAAATGTAAACTTCCAAAAAAAATTAGGTTTTTTAAAATTGTTTTTTGCCCCATATAAACTTCATAAATTGCCAAAAGTAAAATACTTTTAGTATTTAAAAGGAAAATTATTTTGAGTAGTGATTTTATTTTTTATTTTTTTACCCTCCTTCCTTTTGGTTTTCTGAGGACAAAAATCTGTAAAACAAGAAATAAAATTGGTCTGGCCCTATTGAGTTTGAAATTGGATCTGTGAATCTCACAATTTTAAAGTAATTGAAAATAATCGAGTCTCTCTATAGTGTTATATCAGATAGGAATATTGGATATTTTCTTTTTCAAATGTGAGCATGTATTTTAGCATGTGTTCAGTGCATATGCTGCAGTGAGGGAAGTGAAGTAATTATCTACCTTGAATGTCATTATCAACATTCAGTGCTAACATCAGCAACTGATGTCAGAGTAGCTTTTATTGTCTGAGCTTGATTAGTCTAGAATCAATACAAAGCTACTGATTGGATGATTATTGGCATCTGACTGGGTCAAAATTTAGAAGTTTCTGATTGGTTGATTTTACCACCTGATTGGTGTAGAATGTTTTCCAAGCATCTGATTGGCTGATAATTAACATCTGATTGTTTTTGCTTCCAAGCCAAGCACCTGATTGGCTGAGTATATGTGCTGTCTGGGTGCAGTTGTAAGTTGAAACAAGGTAATGATAAGAGCCTTGCACATCAGAGACAAGTTTAATGAATGTACTTAATGCAGTGTAACTTTTTATGTGTAATCAGATAAAACCAACCGATCTGAAGCCATATCAGAGTATATACAATGTAGCTAGGTTGTAACACAAGCCTATCCAGAGACTTACATGTAAAGACAATTTGTTAGATCTATGTATGATGGTTTTAATGATTTTTCATCAAAATAACAAACATTTGAACAAATGCAGTCAGATATAAGATGATCGTAACTCCAGTACCTCACCACAGACCTGCAACACTCATAGCTAAGGTTGTATTGTACAATGGTGCCTAGAGCCTTGTTCCACACAGTGATCTCAGTGCTCTACAAAATCAGACTTAGTCTTGTCTTAACTCTAAGATTGGTTTCTGAGACAGGGCCCAAGGCTGCTCGGAGCCCGGTGCCCTGATCCACCCACCATGTTGCCCTGGGGTAAAGCATGCTATGAATTTGCACCAAGGCATGCTATGAATCATTCTCGATAATCTCCAGGGTATACGTTACGATCACTCTCCACTATATCCTGGATGCATCCACGGCTTGGGACAATGATGTAATTACCTCCCTTGGCTGGCTCCGCATTCTCACAGTAGCCAATCAGCTAAGCCGCCGTTACAACCGAGCTTGCCAGTCTCAACAAGGATAGCGTTGCAGTCGCGATGGTTTGTTTCCAGTGCCACTCAGATTTTTTGGGAAATAATAAAGACTTGCATCAATTGTGTTCCCAAGTTTAAACGGTTAGATAATTTAAAAAGCGAAAGTGAGTTGTGATTGGTACGCTCAACTTCCCAGCGTAGGCACCTGATTGGATAAAAATCCAGCCAAGGGAGGTAATAAAATCATCGCCCCAAGCCGTGGACGCATCCAGGCTATAGTGGAGAGTGATTGTAACGTATACCCTGGAGATTATCGAGGATGGCTATGATCTTGCACCACAAGGCAGTTTATATGTCACACTAATCAAACATGTTGTCATGGTTATAAGTAATGAGGAACATGTAAATATAGTTTGAACTTTTTTATTTATTATTATTAATTGTTCATTGTATGGGCATATTTTTTTAGTATATGTTGATTAAAATGTAGCATAACTATTTTCCATGTATAGACTTGTGTCTAATACATGTACTTTGTATCAGGCCATAATTAATTAATTATTATATGTTCTATTTCCACCTGAGTCTGAAACCCCCAGTCTCACATCATTTAACTGAGGGGTAGCCAAGTGGTTAAAGTGTTTTCTTGTCATGAAGGAGACCCGGGTTCGATTCCCCACATGGGTACAATGTGTACCCATTTCTGGTGTCCCTCGCCGTGATATTGCTGGAATATTGCTAAAAGCAGCGTAAAACTAGACTCACTCACTCACTCACGTTCCCATGCAACTACAGATGAAGCCATTAGCTGTGCAAGTTGCCTTCTTCGGTCTTTAGGAGATAAACATACTGTGTTGGAAAATCAGAGGTATATAATAAAATTATAATAGCTCTAAATTTGATTTAAATACAAATGCGTAGCGTGAGCTTTTAAATAAAGAATGTAGAGCTATGATAATTTTGTTATATACCTCTGATTTTCACAGTACGTTTATCTCCATTCTACCATAACCGCGTTATTAAGATTTGAAAAAAAATACATACTATGTTTGAAAATCAGAGGTATATAACATGATTATATACCTCTGAATGACTTTGATTAACTAATCACAATCCAGTATTTACTGAAGCCATGGTAGAATAATTAATTACGCCCTGAGAGTCCAGACATCAGTGCAATGGACCAATAATAAAGACCCCTTGAACAGCTTGTTTTAATAAAATAATTGCCTACTTCTTCACATCCAAAATAAAAATCTAATAATTACTTTCTTGTGGCCTTAGTGGGGATACTACCTGATAGAAGTGTTTTCTCTCAAGACACTGATCAGACAATCAATTAATTTACTGTACACCATTATTTGTAGAGTAGGTCACACAGTTAAACTTTATACTTATTATCCCAAATATAGTAAGCGTAGTACCCTATGATCTCCGATAGAGGATGGAAAAAGGTTGTTTTATGTATACCATTCAACTTTTGATAGGGACATTTTGTTAATTAGTTCTTGTTGTACAGCCATCCCTATCAGAAGTTGAGCACTACATTGAGGGGAAAGACCTGGGTGCCATTGTACAAAGCATCTTTTACTCTGCAGCTGCTGTAACTCCATGTTTAGGTATGCGAGTTATGATCACCTTTGATCTTAAGTCATTTGTACAAGGGCACCCAGATGCTATTAAACTGATACATATCATCGGCTTTGTTGATGCAGAATTAATCAAAATGGTGTCATGTGTAAATGTGTTTTACCAGACACTGCCATCAGTGATGATGAAGAAAACACAAAACATTTACTTGATGTGAT